ACGTTAAAAAAGCACCCCGATTTTACGGAAACGTAGTGAGAGGCGAGAGGACTCACGTTAAAAAAGCACCCTGATAAGGAGTTTAAAACCGTACTGCAACCTCCACGTGGTAAACTCTGAAAACTATAAAAATTAAAAAGTATACATATTATAGGCTAATTGCAGACGTACATATGTGCTATTAAAGTCACATCGAACACCCGCAACGCGGAATGGCACTGCATTGTGCGCCGGAGTGACGCGACGCTTACGATTTTCGTATTTTTGACTATGTTCCATCATTTTAAAGAAATTGAAAAAATATATGTTAAAGTGAACACTTTAAGAGAAATTTTCGTAAAAATTTCAAAGGGGTACCTCGAAAATATCACCCTAAAAAAAATATTAAAAAATTTAAATATTTTTTTTTTATCTTTTTCTTGGCAAACATTTTGGACATTTTTTTGTTAATTAGTTTTATTAGTCTACATAACATATATTTTTTTCATCAAAATCGGTCAAGTGATTTTCGAGAAAAATACATTTTTTTATTTTACTTTCTCCCTGCATAACTTCTAAAAAAATGAATTTTTTAAAATAATATTTGGTGGAAAGTTTCATCATATTGGTACTAACTTGTGACATTAATGTCAGCTCTGTATGATCAAGGGCCGATTTCACATGCTTACTTCGCTAGGCCCTTTGCAGAATTGTCAAGAAATGTAAACGACTGCGGTGTGTCAACGCATCATTATCTGTCACGACATTTGTCTCGTCTTTATATGCGTACGGCTTGTTTATCGACAAATTTGTCAAATTTTTACTAAATTCACGAACATCTGACAATGATCCCACAGAAGCATCACCATCGAAAATATTTTTGTCTGATTAAAATTTTTGTGTGCATACATCGACAGATGATTGAGAAAATGTTTTCATAAAAAATAATGATGTCAACGTGTCGTTATTTACATTTCTCTTACCCTCACATGCATAAAATTGGTGTGACGTACCTGGATTTTCTATAAAATCCGATCCACATTCTAACGATTCTTTTCCGGAGTCCTCATCAATTCTTTCTTAATTCACGAAAGAATTATCACAAAAAATTTTGTCACGCGTTTGTCGCACGCGACACATTCTTTGTGATAAAGACACACGTCTTCCACTACCTGTTTTATTCCTACTATATTTAGGCATAATGATTATACAATATGCTCTAAATAATACTAGCTATAATAAAACACAGAATACTCTGCAGAATACTCTGACAACAAAACACTACTCTATACAACACAGTACTCTGTGCTACTAAAATCACATGAAAGCTTAGGACACGCTTATTAGGTTGTGTAGTTGTGTTGTGCGATATAATTGCAATCGAAAGTCGAAACCCAGCGAGAAATGACCCGTCTATACATCGTCTAATCGACGTCATATGTTTGCATAATGGCGAACCGTGAACGTGGTAAGTAATTGTTCTCTTCATTTATATATGTATTTATATATGTATATGTATATATACGTACACATTTCATACTTATATAAAGCATTTATTTATTCATTTATGGCGTAACATTTTTGTAAGCAATGATTTTTTTCTTACCTGTAATAACCTCTATTTTACCTTTGTGTAATTATCGATGTATATACATGTACGTATATAAATACATGTGCAAATATTGTATGCATTATATATATATAAAAAACATTTTTTTGCAGCAATACCGATGCCGCTCATTCCTGGCCATTTCTGGCCGTATGCCGGTGCCCCGCATAATTTTTGTGCAAGCACCTCCAGCTGTGAGTATTTTTAGAAAATAAATATATTTAGAGAAAAAGAAAGAGAGAGAGAGAGAGAGAGAGAGAGAGAGAGAGAGAGAGAGAGATAATTTTACTATTTGAAAATAATTTATTTTTTTAGGCTCATCAAACGGATCGTCGTCGACGTTATCGCCAACGTCGTCGTGAGCGGCGGCAACAGCAACAGCAACAGGTGCAAGTGTCTCCGCTACCACCGCCGCCGCCACCACAATTTCCACCGCCGCCACCACAATTTCCACCGCCGCCGCTACAATTTCCACCGCCGCCGTCACCACAATTCCCACAATCGCCGCCACATTTTCAAAATAAGGGTTGGGGGAAGAGAGGGGCAAAGAGGTCGAGGTGGAAAATGAGGAAAAATTTACGAATTCCATTTCCACTAATATTATTACTTACAACTTACATATTTACATAACATGTAAAATGTTTTGATATAAAATATATATATATATATATACATATATATATAAAATAAATTGATCTTTTTATTTTGTTATTAATTTTTAATTATACATATACTACGTTTACGCGAGCGTTACTTCTGTAATAACTTATGATAATTCCTTCGCGTAAACGGGATTTTGTAGTAACTTACGATAATTTACTCCGCGTAAACGAGTGAATTATCGTAAGTTACTACAGAAGTAACGCTTGCGTAAACGTAGTAATTCACACACAAATAGATTCTTCTTATTTTTCAAAATTGTCTTTATTTTTGTTCTTTCTTTACATATGCATACATATACAAAAAAATAAAAATAATATAATAGCCGGTATTTGCTGACATTATCTCTCAATATCTGCATCCGTGTGCTTACATATTAGTGTTTGTACTTACATAGACGCTACTACATATGCGATGTAAGAGAGACAAAGATGCAAGCAGCCAGTATGTTACCACAAAAATTTCCCCAGCTCCTTAGATCTAGTGAGAACCGTAATAACAAGATTTCTCATAAAATAAGTTACATAGTTTTGTGAATTTTTTCATATACTCTTTATATAATAATGCAGTCAGCTACAGAGCCCGATTTTGCATTTTTGCTCTTAAAAATTTATAATAAATTAAATACAGACTTGCGGCTAACCCAATCTTACCCGTTGCTAGCTGCCCATTCCCCCAAGTTTATTAAAAATTTTTATTTTTAAAATAGCTCTGTAGCTGACTACAGATTAGCTTACTGATTAAGAATATCCTAAATTAAATAAGATTCATTCGGTATTTTGTCCAAAATCTGGTTATTACAAATCCGTAATTCCAGACCGGCCGATAGGCGTTTCCACCGTGTCTCCTGCCGACACTTAACCAAAACTGATTCTATGCTGACGATTGACGGGTGGCGAGAGGAGTCAGACTCCTGGTCCACTTCCATCGCTTCGCCCGCGTTGCCGCCCCTAGATGGTGGTTTCGTCAAGCTGACTTTTTTCCCCGGCTTGATCCTTTTTCTGGCCGAGGCGCAGGCCTTACCCCTCGCACGGTGGCCGGATGGCTTGAAGAGATCGGCACACACCGGGGACTTTGGTCGAGCCTCGCACTCGCGTGCCCGGTAGCCCTCCTCGCCACACCGGTAACATCGGGTACTTCTGTCAAACTCATTGGGGCAGTTCGCCCTGACGTGGCCAAGTATGCCAAACCTTCCTGTGGGCTCATTTTTATACTCTGATTCTTCGCCTCTCCGATAAGTTTCTGGACTTTAGCTGCTTGTTCTGGGCCTTCCGAGATATTCTTCAGAACTGCAGTTAAGTCAATTTTGCCCGAAACTCTCGCTGCGTGACGACAAGCCCTCAATATCTTATCTGGATCATTTTGATGTTGAGCGCTGATAAAGGCAGCCTCTCGTCTCTAAGATCTTTCAAATTTTAGACTGAATGAGAGAGATGGTCGACCCAGACCAGGTCGTGCAGTCAAATTCGAACATTTTTTAACTTTAGCGGTATTCAAATCCAACTCTGGCAACTTAAACTCTGAATCTAGCCAGCACCCATTTAAGAACTCAAATCTATCCTTACTCCTTTTCGCTAATTCCCATTTTTTATTCCGTTTACTTTTCAGAGCTTTATTTTTTTCAATTTATTTAGCGATTCAACCTTGACGTCACTTATATTTATATTCAATTTTTCCAAAATGTAATTCACAGCCACAACAGTGTCTTTTTTGCTATCTGACAATTGTTTAACAATTTCTTGTTTAGTAAATTTGTAATTTATGGTTTCTAATTATTTATAACTCATTTAAATACTTAAATGATACTAATATGCAAACACAAGTATACCGATCAACGGTTGTCAAGGATATCAAGGGATATCAAGGGTTACAAAATTATATGCAACTTCTGGAGAAAAAGTGTGTTCAAAGTTTGAGATAATATATTTGATGTACTTTTAAATTTGAAGGTGTTCGGACGTCGACGGACGATGATCCCGAGCGAGGCGAGTCGTAGGCATATGTACCTTTGGCGAACGCAATACACTTTATCAAAATATCTATCGGTGAAAAGTTTCATAACGCTGCGCCTTGTATGCCTCTTTATGTGGTTTTTTAAATACGAGAAAGAGCAACCCGTCGTTTCCATCTAGCGGTGCGGTGCTGCGTACTGCTTGCGGGATTCATTGTAACCAAATAATATATTATTTGGTTGAAATTACTTTATGCAAAACAACAAATTTTTATAAGCTTTAGTCTCTATGTTGCATCCGCCATTTTAAATTTATAGATTTTGACATCATATTTATTATTAACGACCTCAAAAACCCCCACATATTGAGTTTTACAAAAATCTGACAAAATCTTGAATTTTGGCCACTTTTCCTGGTCTCCTGGCCCACCGCGCCGAGCCGTGCTGATCGATGCCTTGCGATCCATTCAATGACGAATTTTTTCGAAGGATATGAATTCGGGCAAAAATGGGCAGATTTTTCTTCAAGCGCATTCTGAAGAATCCAATGACACTTTGATTTTCCTGATCGGATGAATTGCCGCAAGTTGCCGCGATTCGAAAAAATGCAGAAAGTTCAAAAATCCGATAATATACCATTTTTATGTTTCAGAATTTTATTTTTTTTTTCTCTGAAGTACGGGCATTTTTTTCATGAATATTCAATGTGCAAGTAATGCAATAGAGCGAAGAAATCTTTAAAATTCGGCTTAACACATCAAAAATAATTAATTAATTTAATAAATAAAGAGTTAATTTTTCATGCAAGTTATTGAATTCAAATCGTTGTTAAATCAATGGCATCTATTTAATTGGTATGAAAAAACTTTAAAAATAAGTACTTCAAGTTATCTACATTAAAATAAAAAATGTCTGATGTATTTAAACGACTTTTAGCCACTTTTTCTGTCTTTTTGCCTACTGTGCGATGGCTGGCTTCGGGAGAGTAAAAGGGTGTAAAAACTATTATCGCAAAACAAAAAAATTAGGGAAAAAAGTGCAATATTTTTCATTCCCAAAAGAAAATGATATGACACTAAAGTGGCTCGAAGTGTGTAAAACACAAGTTACCAAAGGTAAAGTACCGTAAAAATAATTTGTGACATTACTGTAATAAATGATACAAACAATTCATTACATTCTGTTTTCTTTCTGCTTTATTTGTGCATGTAATGCACTCTCATTTGTTCTTTATTGCATAATTTGGACTGCCAACTTTACCAAAACGTCACACTAACGACTCGGGTGTAACAGTGTCCTGACACTAGAATATATAATGCAATATGTTGTAAATGAAACGTTCATTTCGTGGAACATTCGGGATTTTATCGTTACCTAGACATTGACGTCACGTTTCAGCGACGTAATGGCTTAAATATTATACAGGATGAAGTATTGCAAATACGGATCATTAGAATTTTTGTTAAGAGAAAGAACATATTTTCATATATTTAATAGATTAGAACCTAATATACTATACATTTTGTATGTACATTTTGTTGTTTAGGAAGGATATGTTCAGTTCATTTTGAACCTTCGTGTTTTACAAAGTCATTGCAGCAGCAATTGCTAGGGTACTCCCCGAGAAAAGGTCGCAAACTAAGAAACGATGCAATGCCTACATTGCATTTGTTTCACAAATTGCAAGTGGAAAAAACTCCATTGCTTGATAACTCTGAGAAAACAACTGTTGCTTTATTGCATGTTGACGATGTCCCTAATGCAATGACAAATACGTCGATGTCCACCGTCAATAAATCTAAAGAACCGATAAATGCATCGCCACACATCAATGATTCCACCGATGTCATCGATGCTGTCGTGTCTATAGACGTGGTGAATGTATCATCGACAAGTATAGAAAATACGTCCACAAATACTACGGTTGCCGTAATTGGTTCACCTGCTGCAACGGATCTTTGTAGCCCCAATAATGACATAGGCTACATGTAAGTTCTGTGGTAGTGAAGAATATAATGTTGTATCTTGTTTTTGAAGACAAAATGTGTTTCAAACTCGAAGGACCAGACACTCATCTGTGTCAGAAGCTAGACTAGCTTTAATGCGGTGCGGGTTAGGGAGGTTCGCGCTCCGTTTAGGTGCGCGGTAGGATCGTAGGATCGCGGAACGGGCAAGTTCAGTCCGTTTGAGTCTTATTATTTGTACTGTGAGAGAAATCTTTATTTGATGAGGTGTCACAAACATGGTTCACGTGAACACCACATTGCTGGCACTTGTTATGCGAATGGCCGTGTCGAACGGTGACACGGCGGATTTACACCAACATGGCCGATCACGGCACACGGCGCACGGCGCACGAGGCGCTTACAGAAATGATCGCGGAATGTCTCACACGCGGTAGAATGGCCGACCGTGGCAGATTACGCGCACAACGTGGTATCTGAGTTTCTCTCGCGAGGGAGGACGGCCGATACGGCGCAGATCATTCGCACTTGCACGATTGTACTTAAACTCTCGCGAATGGTGACGGCCGAGCGCGGCGCAGATCACTCGCAGTCGGCGAGATTGCACTTGAACTTTGAACTGTCGCGAGGGGTGACGGCTGAAGGCAGCGCAGGTCACTCGCAACCCGCGAAGTTGCACTTGTCTCTCGCGAGGGATGACGGCCGATCGCGACGCAGATCATTCGCAACTCGCGAGATTACACTTAAACTCTCCCGAAGGGTGACGGCCGAGCGCGGCGCAGGTCACTCGCAATCGGCGAGATTACACTTGAACCTTGAACTTTCACGAGGGGTGACGGCTGAACGCAGCGCAGATCACTCGCGACCCGCGAAGTTGCACTTGTCTCTCGCGAGGGATGACGGCCGAGCGCGACGCAGATCATTCGCAGCTCGCGAGATAGAACGATTCTCGCGAGGGGTGACGGCTGAAGGCAGCGCAGGTCACTCGTCACTCGCGAGACTGAATACGGCCGAACACGGCGCTTAACTTACAACGGAGAGCACTTAGATGCGTCTCAAAACGTGCCGTCCGGTGCGGGACGACGAATAAGCTGAGTCGACGCAGTGAACCACGATATCGTGCGACGAGCGGGTGTCTTTTACGACACGCGGGATAGCAGGCTGACGACGGACATCTTGCAGCGACGCGAGCGGAGAATCTTGTCGCGGCACGAGCTGAGATCCTGTCGACGCGAGCGGAGATCTTGTCGCGGAGCTGGCGGAGATCTTGTCGCGTGGCCCGGTTCAACGTTTTCGGTTTCGCGGATATGAACACGTGTGGTTCACCGGCCGGCTACAGACGTACTCTACTGCGCTTCCGGCGGCGCCGCGACGCGAGGATGAAGAACCATGCCAATCGATTTCGATAGATATACGGGTCGATGTGCAAACGCTCGCGAAATTTGATTGGTCGCGAAGCGCTCCTGGAATCGCGCATGTGGTCGATAAGAACGGGATCGCGGTAACGCTTCCTCATCCGTCGCGAAGGGCTCGCCGTGCGCGTGAACTCGCCCAATCCGGAACAAAATGTAATATTAAATTTTTATTGATATTACAGAACACGAATCAGTATTGTAGAATAGTATATGTCGTTTCTGAGTTAATTTTAATCGTACATTAATTTTATTGTATTTATTTTTGGATTGTTTGACAAAATGTATCTATTAATTTTCTCCGCATGGTATTAGTCTTATGTACGTTAGTCTTATATACGATATATATGTACAATATTTACAATCTTACCTGTAACAAGAGAAACGACAATTAAAGTATCTTTCTCCGTTACACCTCTAATTACTCTTTATTCAAACAATCTTTCTATCTCAATGATTTTGCAAGATACGCACACGTGCTTATCATTTTTTATCTCTTTCTCTATCTATCTCTCTTGGTCAGTGTTACCGACTTCGGCCTACTACCAACTACTGTAGCGCGGCGAGTTTAAATGAAGAAAGTACCTTTCTTTACATCTCCCCCCCTTGGGTTGAAAATTCGCAATAATAGTTGCTTCTTGAATTATATATCCGCTTCTAAATCTTCTTTGTTTGCTTCTTCTTTATTATTTGAGGTCGGTATTAGTTTTGTAATGTAGAATAGGCCTGTTTCGGATTTTTTTCTTCCTGTGTTTATTTTGTAGATCGTATTTGATTTTTTTTTGTTATTTCGAAAGGTCCTTTTCTTAATTTGTCTAGTTTTTTCCTATTTAGTTTATTACCGTTCTCTATATATACTATGTCTCCTATATTGAATTCTAGTTGTTTACGGTTTTTATCAAATAATTTTTTATTGTAATCATGTGATTTGATAGTACTTTCCAATGCTAATCTTTTATCCTTGGTCCAATCTTCTATAGCCGTTTTTTTTTACTTCATCAGGTGCCGTAGAAACGTTCGTGCCATCTAACAGATACTTTGGTGCAAAACCTGTTACTGAGTGTTCTGTCTCGTTATATTTTTCAATACATTCTTTTGCCACTGTTGTCCAAGCTTTTTTCTTTTTCCTTTCATTTATTCTACATCTAATTTTGTTCACTATCGTCTGATTTAGTCTCTCGTTCAAACCATTGGAGGAAGGTGTATTTACTGCAGTAAAAACCAGTTATATCTTATTTTCTTCTAGGAATTCTTTAAATTCCTTTGAGTTGATGCCTACAACGCTAGGTTTATTATTTTTTTTCTTCTTAAACCAGCATGACTCCTCCGGATGATATCTGATGCCTTTGCTTAAACTTTCACAGTTCTTGCATGGCCTTTTTTCTTCAGTCTTTTTTTTATTTTCAAATTTCTCTTCTTTCTTCTTTGGAAAACTTTTTTTATTCACTAAACTCTCATACCTCCTTATTTCCTTAAACAGTTTTGTTGAATTTTTACATTCTTCTCTATCTATTTTATTCATAATGAAGTCTGGCAGTTCCACTGCTATTAAGGTCGTTAATGTTTTTGTATTCATATTTTTATTCATATCTAGCAGAAGTCTTTCCTTTCTCATTGCATAATCAATAAGAGATCCTTCTTTATATCTAAATGACAAAGCATATGTTACCGTGCTTTATCCTTTATCAGCAAAGGTCTCTAGGAATCTATCTTTCCATTCAATCCATTTTGCCGTAACTCTCAACTTCGTTAACGTTGCACAGTGCCAGTCTGAACAAGATTTATCCAAAAACAATCTTAATATCTCTATTTTCATTTCATCTTCTGTGATATCAAATCTTGTACACTCCTTCTCAAATGTCTCTATCCATTGTTTGGCATTTGAGTGCTTACTAGTGAATTTCTCAATCATATACTTTTCTGCAATCTGTTTTAAATTTTTCTCTCCTTCTTTTTTCTTTGATGTTTCCACCAATTTTTCTAATATCTTACTCAAATCATCCTTTCTTATATCAGCTCTGTCTTTTTCTTCTATTTCTTGTAAGTATTCACCTGCAAACTGTATATTACCATCCTCATCTATATAAATTTTTTTCAACTCTTCTGTTATAGAGATCCACATTTTTCTTGACTGATGTCTTTTTTTTTAACTATTCTATGCTTTCAAATAATTCTCTGTTTTCATTAATTCTATATGGTTGGCTATGTATCCATGGTCTCCTTGTAAGACATACGTCCATCCGTCTTCTGTTCTAATTGAGGTTATGGCTATCGTAGCCGACTTCTCATCTTTTGGAGAACCGACTATTGTAAATTCAAATTGTAATTTATCCATTATTTTACTTGACTGAAATTGTCGTTTTGTCAAATGATTTCTATTATTGAGGATTTTCCAAGAAAAAAACCAATGTGTTGCTCTGTAACAAGAGATTTAAATTTTATTTACTATGTTTTAACAATTTATGTACAATATTTACAATCTTACCTGTAACAAGAGAAACGACAATTAAAGTTTCTTTCTCCAATTAAAGTTTTATTCAAACAATCTTTCTATCTCAATGATTTTGCAAGATACGCACACGTGCTTATCATTTTCTATCTCTTTCTCTATCTATCTCTCTTGGTCAGTGTTACCGACTTCGGCCTACTACCATCAATTACTGTAGCGCGGCGAGTTCAAATGAAGAAAGTACCTTTCTTTACATATAGATACGCTATAATAGATTGTTCGCATTTTATTTCTTATTTTTAGACAAAAACTGCAATAGGAATTGGCAGTCTTGAAAAAGAAATTTAATATTTATAAAAAGAAAAAAAAATTGATTTCGCTGCAATAAAGAAGAAAATGCAGCAGTTCAAGCGAAATCAGTCATTTGAAGCCGACAATAAATACGAAACGAAGATGTACGATGTTTTGAAAAGGGTATTCACGCCAGGAAAAATTCGGATGCTTTTGAATCCTTCTCAGAAATATGTAAATTGGTCTTCGGAAGATATAGCCAGTGCTATGTCATTGAGATGCGTCAGTCCAAAAGCATACCGGTACCTCAGAAACATTATGAAAATACCGCTACCATCACTACAAACGCTTCGAAGGTGGGCAACCGACATTAATGTAGAGCCAGGTGTTTTAAATGCTATACTCGATTGCATGCGGTTCAAGAGTAAAAGCATGCCAGATTTTGAAACATTGGTTATATTGACATTTGATGAGGTGTACTTATCGAATAAAGTAGCTATTGATAGAAAAAAACAGCAAGTTGTAGGTCCACATAAAACATGCCAGTGCGTCATGGTCCGCAGTTTGTTTGGAAATTGGAAACAACCTGTATACTATAATTATGACACACCTATGACTAAAGATAACATTTTGCACATTATTTCGCGATTGTACAATGTAGGTTATACGGTTGTTGCAATGACATGCGACATGGGCCCGACAAACATGGCACTGTGGTCGGACCTTAGCATAGGAATAGCACCAAAAAAATATTATTTTCAGCATCCTATAAACGAAAATTATAAGATTTATGTATTTGCAGATATGCCACATCTGTTGAAATTGGCGCGAAATCATTTCATTGATAATGGATTTAGTGTGGGGAAACATCGGGTG